GTGGGACTGTAGTATTAACCAGCTGGCTAACAACTTGTTTCAATCACTTCCTGTTTGAGAACATTCATTTCAGAACACCAAGGTTACTGCAACGTTCCAGTTACTTTGGATGTCGGATTTAGTGATTTTCAGTAGGAAAGTCGGAAAAGCGTAGAAGACCATGGCTTGTTTCACTTCTTAGCAAAGCAGAGCAACTCATGTACCACAAACAAAACAACATAATGCTTGTTGTTTGTTGTGCTATTATTTTAGACATAAGGTTTCAAGTTTCTTTACTTGGACTTTATCTGGACTGTTTCTTACTTTGAAACTAATTGGTTAGTGTTTTGCTTTTCTCACCCGTGCAGTTTATTAATGGACGGTGGTTACGCTGACAGCTTAACGCTCCACCCTAGCTTCCAAATGTGGACACTTTTGGATCTAAAAAAACAACAAGGTAGTAATCAAGGCCTTCCAAAAACCAGTGGGTGACGTCGCTGTGGCTGTGTCCATTTTTTACACTTTTTATGCAACTAACAAGAACACAAAGCATCGTTTCCTATTAGCTGATGTTAACAAATTGGAGTTTTTAAAATCTCTTTGAAGAGACGCCATCCATCTGAGCGGCCTCATCTGCTGCTCGCTGCGCTCCTGTTTTGTAATGACCACAGGAACACGATCCCTAAGTGATCCAACACACACACACTCACATATATACACACACTGTTCTCACCCCGTGTTTGGATCAGTACATGTGACAGGCCCACGCTGACATGTCCGTCGCACAATCAGGAGGCCTGTCATCCTTCAACCTGCTGTGATCCACCACTAACTCCACCAATCCCTCCATCACACACACACACCTGAATGTTTTCAGGCTGGCTGACGTTGGGCGTGACGTTTGCTCGTCGTCCCGCCGTTTCCATCATTAATAACATCTGCCAGCAGCAGGTTCTGCTCTGATAAACACTCTCGACTGGATTAGGAGCTCCAGTCGGCCTGCAGCTGCCACACTTTCACCTCAGCGTGTGTGCGTGTGTGTGCATGTGTGTGTCACTGCAGAGAGAAAATAAAGCCTTTTATGAATGATGAGGCTGATCAGAAAGAAACGGGACAGTCTGATGCATCGAGGTTTGACTGCTTTCAGGGGATTTCAAAGGCGCGCGCCGATGTTTTTAGATTAAAGCCGCGGATTCTTGCTTGTCTGGACTAATTACTCGGCACTCGCCCCACAATTTACACTCGGTCTTCATCATTCTCGGAGAACACGTGAAAGCATTTTCAAATACGTATACACCACAATCTCCATCACCTTCAACACATCAGATTTTGGCAGCATAACACACACGCACACCTGCACACAAGCAGTAAATTGTTGGCAAAAAAGGGTGGCTCACATCCAGCGTGTATCCAGGATCTCTCCCTGTGCAATGTAGACCCTCTCAGGCCTGTATAAATAAAATATGCCCTCCACATTATATAAGGCAGAGATGCTCACTGGCACTGGGATAACAACTGGGTGGGATGTTGTGATTGGGATTCAATGGCCCATACAGAGGAGAGTGTGTGTGTGTGTGTGTGTGTGTGTGTGTGTAAAAAGAAGATGGTGGTGGTGGGAAGAATATTCCTCCTCATCCTCAGGCCCAAAAAAACAGAGAGAGCGAGGCAGGGATGCAAGAGTCTGCGATCACGGGCATCAAAAGCCAAGCTGCCCCCCTCTGTGCTGCGCTGTCACGCAGCGTTGCATCGCAATGCTATTATTAAACACACACACACACACACACGTACACACGTACACACACACACACAGGTAGGCTCGGCTGACTGTGTCAACATCTCAAGGTCAAACAATGGCTCGATTTTCGGACCCAAAACGGGCGAACAGGCCGTGTCGGGTGTGTGTGTATGTGTGTGTGTTTCCTCCGCAGCTGAGACAAAGAGCAGCGGGAGAATCCCGCAGCCTGCTCCCGCTCAGCCCTCATCCTCCCCCGGCCACACAGAGCTGCTCAGGCCGGTCCCCTGACTGACAAACATCTGGATGGGAGGAGCGGGAGGGGACAAGGAGGAGGAGGAGGTGGAGGACGGGGCCGCAGGAATGAACGGTTAGATTCCGTTAGTAGGTACGGGCTCCCGGTGTGGATGGTGATGGTGATGAGATAACGTGATAACAAGAGAAAAGAGGAAGAGGAGGAGGAAGAGAAGGAGGAGGGGGAGGCTTTTCTCCCTCGCACCCCTCGTGTTTTTTTGATCCATTTCTTACCCTCTGACAGCTCCAGCTCCAGCTCCGCCAGCCGAGCTCGGATCTCCAGCGGTATCGGCGACGCCTCGCGGTCCGCCATTCGGCTCGTACCGTATTAAGCACGTCCCCGGTTCGACTGTTACCTCCGCTGCCGCCGCTGCTGTATCTCCTCCTGCCTCCTTCTCCTCGGAAAAGGAGAGCTTCTCCTGGCGGCCCCTCCTCGGCGGAGGCGCGTGAAGACTGCGAGAACAAAGAGGATAAATGTGGCTCTTGGTTTAACGGGGGCCCGCCATGACGCCCGCTCCTTGAATCGGTAAAGACCCCGGTTTCGGTCGGCTCTCTATGCTGTCGTTGCGGCGGTTGTGGCGGTGATGATGATGATGATGATGAGGCTCGCGCAGCCCCGGTCTCAGAGCCGTTTGCAGCTTCTTGCCGCTGGTGTCACGTGACTCTACGGAGGAAGGAGGGAAAAGGGAGGGAGCTCCGCTCATCACCGGCAGGGGGCGCATCAACCAACCACACCTACAACGCCCAAATGAACCTGTATGGGAGCCCAAAAGTGGCACAATAAATACATAAATAAATAAATTCCTGGTTTAATTACACATAAATAAAAATAAACATTCGTTTTTGTATGATTATTTAATCTATTACTATTTATAAGTTCAAATGTTTTTTTTCTTTCACATTGGGAACATTAGGTAATTATTTCACTTGTATTCATTTTGAACCCTTTGAAATAAAAACTGCAATTTTTTTATTTTTAGATTTCTTGCAAAAAAACATAACATTCAAGCGTAACCTATATTTTCTTTCATTTAAGTGGTTTAAAATTAGGATACACAAAAAAGCACTCAAGAAAAGTTTATTCTACTACCTAGAAATAATTTGTGCCTGTTCTGCTTGTCTTTTGCAATGCAAATTTTGTTTACCTTAATATTATGAAAGTTGTTTGGTTCCTAGGAACAATTCAAAGACCCCAACAACACTCAACGTTTTGAGGGAAAAAATTGTAGAGCTGAAACTCTACAATAAAAAAATTGTGGCATATCAAGTTTCAGTGCCAACTTTATTTTTATTACTCACTTTTTAAATTAATGAATTTAAAATGATTAGAAACTACATCGTAGATTTCTAAAACAGTTTTCTGTTGGGAAACAAAAGTTGAATAACTTTGAATAACTAAGGAAGCTCTGCCTGATCAAACTGTATAGCTTACATTCTAAAAGTGCAGATTTATTAGTCATGTTTGTTAAGTTTTAAGTCAAACCGCTGTCTGCATTTTGGGTAGTGATTTTTTCCAGTTTAGCACATAGCTTTTCTTCTCCTTCTCTCATTAGCCATTACTTTTAATGTGGCTGTTCTATATTCCATGTTTGTGTGTGAAAACTGAGCCTCAGCAGAATAATATCATTAATATTAAAGGTCAAGCGCCTTTCAATTAAGCACAGTATGATTGAATGACCATAATGTGCCTGTGACACATAACTGAGCATCAATTTGTCTGCAGAATGCTGTGTATTTCATTAGTATTCCTCATCTCATTCATTAGGCCTATAGCCTTCTGAGAATCAAATCATCCTCATTGTAAACAAGTGGTGGTGCCAGATAATGGAGTAATGAGTGTTGTGATGTTACTCTTCTGCCATCTGCTGGTCCAAAGAAGGAACTAACGTAAAGGGTGCCGACTCTATATTTAAATGTTAATCATGGAGAGGATGATCGGATAGAGCAGAATAAATACATACACAAACAAAACTTTAACTTCAAAGGCACTTCTTTAATAGTTGTTCAATATGTACAGTCTGTACAAAGTAACTTTCCACAACCGTGCCCACTCTGTCTCCATGACACCTGTTTAACATTTAAAACTTTATATTTCAAAGAAAAGACAAATGGCTTCATTACAATCAAATTCAAGTTCTCACATACAGTTCAAGTGCTGAAACAATGTTGTTTATAGACACACAGTAAGTACCCACCCAGCCAAAAGGGTGTTTCCCTTTATGGAAGCCGAACTGTGTCCAAAATATTAGACCGTGTGACACTGAAATGCACTCCTGTTTAAAATAAATAAAACTTTTCTAAAGTAAGGGAAACATGCTTTTGATCAATTTAATCCCAGAACTAGAAAGATCAAATCAGATCTCATTAAACACACTGGCCCCTGCAGCTCTCTGGTATCTAAAAATGGAAATAATACAGCTGATCAGCAATAATATTAATGGAAAAAGCTTCATTGTGTGTCCACAGCAGTCACAGATAACACAGATGTATGGGTGGAGAAATACAACAACAGCACTAAAATAAGTTCACAATCATGGCGGAACGTCCTGTACAACTAAGAAAACATGTAACACACACAAACAGGACGAAAATAACTGGCGATGCATCAGGAAAGCAAGAAGAAATCAAAAAAAATGGAAGCTCACTCTCAACAAACAGACCTAAACTACAAATCAAGAAATAAAACAGAAATTAAAGTAGCAGATCAAACTTTACAGATCTTCCTGTCTAAAAAACGGAAAAGTTGGTTTTGCCAAATAGTCGGAGCCCTCTGCCCACCCCAAACATCCAGACCTGGATTAAGGTGATTTAAAGGTTCAATGTGTAATACTCAGTGTAGTATAAGAGATCATTCTTTATAGTAAATATGCAGCCTGAAGGCAGCAATTAAATTTGATCTTTTAGACACTCATAACACCTAAACAACAAAAAAAGTGTCTTTTCTTCATCTCATTTCATCAGCGTTTCCACCGTGCTGGCTCTGTTGCATCACCCCAGTTCTGTGAAGGTAGGACCAGACTTACTGCATAAGCCTCTCTGGCAGACCTCGGCTTAGGTCAGTTTCCTGGACTCCTGGCCAAACAGAGTAAAGATGGGATCAAACTCACTATTACACCTTTACAACATGTGTTTGATTGAGTCATTTTTGTAACTGTGAGACACTTGCTGCTGCCTATCTTGGACAGGTCTCCCTTGAAAAAGACGTTTTTAATCTCATTGGGATCTTCCTAGTTAAGTAAAGGTTAAATTAAAAAAATAAAATGAAATATGACTCTAAAACTGTGCACCTGTGCTACTTTTGATTTTTAACTTCCTTTACAAAAGTTCATTTGTTGTATTTTTATCTTTTGTTGCTATCAACCCCCTTTTGTGATTTATAGCTTTTTATGTACAGTTTAGAATTACCAAACACCAGCTATCACAAACATTTGGCTTCCTGTTTCCTTCCAAGTGTTTGGTAGGTGCCACTAAGGCTACATTCACACTGCAGGCGAAAGCACATCAAATCCGATTTTTTT